TGGGATAAATCCAAATCTTGGATTTTATGCAGTCCTAACCTCACCTAACAAAATAATCCCACCTCTCACCCGTGGGCTGTGGACATGGGATTAAGTTGGATAAGATTGTATTTATAATTTATTAATTTTTAACCCTCTTCTCTCTCCATGATTTTGACCCCATCATCCCAACCTCTCTGACACGACAAATCTATTGAGCAACGTCGACACCGACTTGCTAGAACTCAACTATAACCCTTCTTCTTCCTCCTCCTCCCCCTCTTTGTCTTCTTCCTCTATCATCTCCGACAACGGGGCCGACCTTCACACTTATGGTGTTGAAAAAGAGAGACAAAATTAGTAAGGAAATTAGGCCCTAGAATATACAAAACTACAATAATTCGGTGTGGGAGTATCAAAATAATAGATCTAGAAAATTATGATGTGTCTCAAGTTGGAGTATGTCGGAAAAAATAAGTGATTGGAGCCAATTTGAAATTGAATTGTTGAGTAGTGTCAAAGGCAATCATGCGTTGGTTGGCGGAGACCTGATAAGGTTGAGATGGAAGTAAGGAAATGGAGCATACTCTCATAATATAATAATTTTTACATTTAGTTATTGTAAGGATAGATCTAAGGTTCTTAACTTCGATCGTACTGTTACAATTTCTTAATAGCCGAAGTGAAGATTAAATCTAGTGCTTCTTGATTAAGTGGCCGCATAACAGGTACAGTGCACATGTCCACACCTGATTCTCTACACTTGATTTCTTGGTTCTGAAATTATCGCCTGAGGGGACACGTTGGACTCCGATTATCCTGTTGAGCAAGCCACGTGAACACCTCACTAAGGCCTATAAATACCCCCCGGGGGCCACTTCAGAAAGGTAATTGAAACCGACCTAAAGCTCATTTTTCCATTATTCTAAAGGTAGATCCGATTATTGTTGATTTAAGTATTGGAGTGTCTACCCCGAGGACCCACCTCGGTGCTTTGCAGGTTCATCTAGAGTGGAGACGCGGATTGAAGAAAGACTTCTGGTTTGGTGCAATTATATTGGCGTCATCTGTGGGAAACCGAACTAAAAGCTCTTTTATTGCTTTCTCATTATGGTCAACACTCGATCTGTCCGAGCTGGAAGTCAGGCTCAACCTCTTGGATAGAGTCAAGCTCAATACCCCAACAACCTCTCACCTCAGATCCCAAATCCATTCCTTCTTGTTGAACATGCAGAAGGAGGAGATGAAAATCAACCTCACAACTCAGCTCACAATTTAGCTCCCACCCCTAACCAAGGGGATGTAGTCATAGCTCAGCTTGTTGCCATGCAACAGCAGTTCGGCGTCTTTCAGTTGGTTTTGGCTCAACTCTTAGCTCGGAATAATCCTGGTGATCCCCTCATCAATCTACTTCACCTTACTCAACAACCCCCTATTCAACAGCAAGACCCTCAACCAATTCAACATGCTCCTGCTGTTAGTGAGTCTCAGGGTCAGTCTCACATAGCCCCAACTCAACAACATCTACCTAATGATGTCACACGATGTCTAGACAGTTTAGAAAAAATGGTAGCTGAGCAGCGAGGTGCCCCACCTCCCCACCATAACACTGACTCCATACCTCATCCTTTAAATACTAATATTACATTGGAACCTTATCCTACTGGTTTCAAAATACCACAGCTCGAGACATATGATGGAACGAAGGATTCAGATGATCACCTCCATGCTTTTTATTCTTGTATGCAAGTTTAGAATGGCTTTGATGCGTTGATGTGCAAGATCTTTCCCTCTACTCTCCGTGGTAATGCTCGAACATGGTACTATAGTTTGCCTCCAAAATTTATCAGTTCTTATACAGAAATGGCATCTGCTTTTGCTACAAAGTTTTTTAGTAGAAGGTTGATTAGGAAAATAAGTTGAACTGATGCGAGTCAAACAGAGGGAAGGAGAATCTCTGAAGAATTACATGAGCAGGTTCAATGATGCAGTGCTTGAAGTCAGCTCATTCAACCAAGCCGTGGAAATTGTGGCTGTAATTCAATGTCTCCAACACAAGAGATTCAAAAATAGCTTAATTAAGCATCTTGCTGCAACTTTTAATGAGGTTAATGACAAATTCTTGAAATTCATAACTACTGAGGAATATGCCTTGTCACTGAAGCCAATTTTCCCTAAGAATCAAAACCCAGATTGGAGAAATGAGGGCCAAAGCAGAAAGCGGATGAAGACATCACATAATTGAGGTCCGATGTCGACCTCCACACCAAGATTCGAAAAATCGAACTTGGTATCTCCCCAACAAATTACTAGTAAAGCACCAGTTACATGGACTCCTTTCAATCTGATGAGGTCACAGATATTCATGCAAATCAAGAATAAGATGGATTTGAGGCGACCATGGCCGATGAGAAGTTCTACTGCTACACGCGATCATACTAGATACTGTGATTTTTATCAAAATCATGGCCATACAATGGAGGAGTGTAATAGTTTGAGATTCGAATTGGAAAGTCTAGCTTAGAAGGGAATGCTAAATGAATACATCTAAAGAACAGAGCAACCGAAGTTTGTCAGAGAGCAGGGGCCACAGCTATAGGGATCTCGTAATGCAGGAAACAAGCAAGGTGTGAGATATCAACAAGCCCCACCTCCACTCCCGCCACCAGCCAGAATTATACATATGATTACAGAAGGATTGGAAGCAGGGGGTTTGAACTCCAACCAACGAAAATTGTATGTTAGAGAGGTGAAGCATCAAAACCAAGCTCAGAAAAGAAAGTTTGATGACGCTGATTGGAAGAATCAACCCATCACTTTCACACCTGCTGACTTCGATACAGTTGTAATACCCCATAATGATCCTTTGGTCACCTCTATTATGATTAACAACTGTGAAGTACAACGTGTCCTTGTTGACATAGGGAGTGCACCAAACATTATGTATTTTCACTATTTTGAGAGTTGAGGACTAGATCCAGCTCTGTTACAGAGGTACGATGATCCCATATATGGATTCAATAACCAACCTATTCAGGTAGAAGGAGTCCTTACTCTCAACATCGCTTTTGGAAGCGACCGAACTTATGTTACCCCTTCAGTTCGGTTTCTAGTTGTCAAAATGGCCTTATCTTTCAATGATGTTATTGGACGACCTACATTAACCGAGATTCGAGCTGTGGTACCTCTGTATGAAGTTCCCAACCCCTATAAGGATAGCAACATTACGAGGTAACCAGGAGGTGGCTAGACATTGCTATATTACCTCAATTACAAGGCCTCAGAAAGGCAAAGATCAGACATCAGAAACCATCCACCACAAGTTCATGATAATCAGCAGGTGATGGGGGTTGAGATAGTAGACAACCGACCTGAAGATAAAACCCGAGCTGCCCCAGTTGAGGATGTAGAGGAAGTGCAACTTAAGGACAGAAATCTGAACAGGAAAACTCAAATTGGAACTCAGTTGAACCCAAAGGAAAGAGCAGAGCTAATAGCTTTCCTTTGAACTAACAAAGATGTCTTCGCTTTGACCTCAGCAGACATGCTAGGGATTCCAACCTCGGTATCTCAGCACAAGCTCAGTACCAATCCATTGAAGAAACCAGTAGCCCAGAAGTGACGCTTCTTTGGGGGGGAAAGGTTTCAGGTTATAAAGGAAGAAGTAGAGAAACTCCTACAAGCTGGCTTTGTTAGGAGAGTTGATTACTGTGAATGGCTGGTTAACCCGGTGTTGGTCAAGAAGGCAAATGGTAAATAGCGAATGTGCATCGATTACACTAATCTCAACCAGGCTTGTCCCAAAGACTGTGATCCGATGCCAAGCATTGGCAAACTGGTTGAAGTGGCTTTTGGAAACGAGAGATTAAGTCTCTTAGATGCATATTCTAGTTACCACCAAGTGCCGATGGCTCCGGAGGATGAAGAGAAAACCTCATTCTGTGCAGGTGATGAAATTTATTGCTATATCATGATGCCCTTTGGCTTAAAGAACGCAGGTGCCACTTACCAGAAAATTGTGACCATTGTGTTTTGAGCTCAAAACGACAAGAATCTAAAAGTTTACGTCAATGACATTGTGGTGAAGAGCCTGAAAGTAGAAGATCATCTAGCTGACCTCAATGAAACATTCAACAACCTCAGACAGAACAAAATGCGGTTAAACCCAGCAAAGTGCATCTTCGGTGTGGAGTCTAGGAAATTTCTAGGCTTCATGGTTTGAGGAGAGGGATTGAGGTTAACCTAAAAAAGATCAAAGCAATAGCCGAGATGGAATCGTCGAAATTGGTGAAAGACATATAGAGATTAACTGGGAGGGTGGCAGCTTTTCATAGATTCATATCGAAGTCAGTAGATAAGTGCCTGCTATTTTTCAAGATCATGAGATCAGTAGCCCAGAAGGATGAATTTGGCAAATAGAAGAAGTTTGAATGGAACTCAGAATGCCAAGCTGCATTTGATGAGCTAAAGTCTTATCTTAGCTCACTTCTTTTGCTGACAAAGGCTATAAACGGAGAAATCCTTTATTTGTACCTTGGTATCTTAGATGAAGCAATCAATTCTGTGCTAGTGAGAGAAGAAGGCAAACATCAGAAACCAGTTTATTATACAAGCAATGTACTATGTGGAGCAGAGTTAAGATACCCTATTGCTGAGAAGGTAGCATTAGCAGTTGTTACCTCGGCCAGAAAACTAAGGCCATACTTCCAGTCACACCCAATCATAGTCCTCACAGACCAACCTCTTCGACAGATCCTTCAGAAGCCAGAATGCTCAAGAAGGTTGATTAAATGGGCCGCGGAGCTGGGGGAATTCGAGATAACATTTCAACAGAGGTCAGCAATCCGAGCTCAAGCACTCGTAGATTTTATCGTGGAATGCACTCCGGCTCTCTCGAATTCTCACTCTGAGCCGAACAGTTGGATACTATATGTTGATGGAGCATCAAGTAGCAAAGGCTCATGAGCTGGTCCTTTCCTAGTTGGCCCAGATGAATATTGAAGTGAGCATGCTTTGAAATTTAATTTCGACGCAACTAACAACATGGCTGAATATGAAGCTCTGTTACTCGGCTTGCAGTTAGCATTGGAACTGAAAGTCACGGCAATAGAAGTATACAGTGACTCACAGTTTGTGGTTAATCAAATCAACTCAATTGCGAGGTAGTTGATTATGTTATGATGAAGTATGTAGCCCTGGTGACCGAGTTAAAGTACAAGTTCCAAAAATTTTGTTCAAGCAAAATACCTCGAACTGAGAATGAGCAGGCAGATTCACTTTTTAAGTTCGCCTCTGATAGCTCTTTAAGCTCCAGATTAGTTTTCGTTGAAGTTTTGGATGAGCCGAGCTTCATTAAGCCAAAAATTGTGGAGATCAGCACAAACTCGAATACACCGAGCTGGACAAATCCAATCATCTCTTTCTTACAAGATGGGTTAGTACCTACAGATAAGCAAGAACAGATGAGATTGAGGAAGAAAGCGTCTCGATGCACACTCGTTGATGGAGTCCTCTATAAGAGATCTTTCTCACTCCTTCTCCTACGATGCTTGAACCCTTATGAAGTTGAGTATGCATTTCAGGAAGTACATGAAGGCATATGGGGAAGCCATTTTGGCGCTAGAACCCTGACTCATAAAGTCCTCAGACAAGGATATTACTGGCCGAATATTTCTAAGGATGCTACTCACTTTGTACAAAGGTGCTTGAAATGCTAATTCTTCATACACTTAACTCATCAACCAACAGAAAAGCTCACCAAATTGGTGGTGCCGTGGCCATTTGCTCAGTGGGGACTTGATCTTTTAGGCCCATTCATGAAAGGGATTGGAGGTGTAACCCATATGATCGTTGGTGTTGATTATTTTACAAATTGGGTTGAAGCTCGGCCATTGTCCAGCCTTACCTCCAAAAAGATTGAAGACTTTGTTTTTAGCTCAAATTATCTGCCAATATGGGATCCCGAATCAGATTGTGGCTGACAACGACACTCAGTTTAACTGCTCTTCCTTCAGAGATTTCTGCTCCAGTTATGGGGTTAAATTATAGTTTACCTTAGTGTACCATCCGGAGTCCAATGGTATAGTGGAATCTGTCAATAAAGCTATCCTAGAGGGAATAAAGCCGAGGTTGGAGTAGTACAAGGCTAGGTGGGCAGACGAGCTCAACAACGTCCTCTGGGCATATAGAACTACGACCCAAATTGCCAGAAGTACTATTTTCAACCCAAGTTACTTTCATTCTATTTTATTTTTTCATCTACGGCTTTATCCTAGATCGAATATGTACAACATATAAAGCATATTCTAAAAACTATAATTTAATGAAATTAGTGAAACACCTTACCACCAGACCTTTGGTACCGAAGCAGTCATTTCCATTGAAATAAGAGTCTTAAGCTTTAGGGTCACCCATTTCAATGAAGGACGAAATGGACAACTGCTTCAGGAAAACTGTGACTTGTTTGATGAAGTCAGAGAGGAAGCATGACTTCGAACTCTGATATACAAGCAGAAATTAGCTAACTTCTACAACAAATGAGTCCACCCTCGAACATTCAAAGTAGGAGACCTTGTTCTCAGAAAAGCTGGTCTAATGGGGTTTGAAACTCGTTTTGGTAAATTAGCCCCAAACTGGGAAGGCCCTTACACAGTAGCCGAAGTGCCACATCCTGGTGCCTATATCCTCCAAGACGCTGAAGGAAAGAGAGTTCCTAGAGTCTAGAATATCAATAACTTGAAGAAATTTTACCCTTAATATATTTCTTTCAAGTGATCCCTGTCTTATTATTCTTTATAATTATTACTTCTTCATTTTGAGATCCATTTCATCTCTTAGTTTGTATCTTCGAGGTCAATCCATTTCATCTATTAATTATTCCTTGGACTTCACTTTTATTAATAAATTTCACTTCACATTCGAAGTGATTTACTTCATCTCAGTTCAAATGTTAATATAAAATAAAAAAAACACAAAACAAATATTACATATAATTTCAAAAAAGTTTCATTAAATCAAGTAATAAATATTACAAAAGGTTAAAACTACAAAGTGTCCCAATTTTAACGTAAAGAAAGGAATGGACACCCTAACTACTTCAGTGAAGGAGGTGGCTACTCCTCAACAGGAAGAGGTGGCTGAGGTGGCTTTTCCTCAGCAGGGAGAGGTGAATGTCCCATTTCTAGATGAGCTTGCTAGTCCTCTTCTGACGGAATTATATGCACTTCCACTGGATGAGGTGGCTGGTTCCTTTCCTCTTATGTACCCTCTACCTCTGCAACCTTTTCTTCCATTGCAACGAATTTGAAGTCGAAGTGCGGAGGAAATATTGTACGACCTTATGTGTCGTGATCCCATCTCAGCTTAACTTTCGGCCGGAAGTCAACTGACATCCTTTCGCCATTCTCTTCCACCCCTTATTCTTGTTCATCAAAGGTGATGCTCGTGAGATTCATTTTGGGATATTGCGACTTCACCTTCTTTCTGCAGTCTGTGAAGGCCAGGATTGCAATGGGCAACCAGTACAGGTTCACTATCTCGTCAAACATACCAGACTTCAAGAAATCTGCAATGTGCTCCTCCTTCGCATTATGTACCAATAACTCCACATTCTTCTTCAGCTCGGTCATAGCCTTTTTCATCTTTTTTATCTCCTTCTCCTGAGCCTTACATTGGCTTTTAGAGGTCTTTCTTTTTCTCTTTTAAAAAACGAGCTTAGTACTCAACGAATCTTTCTCATCTTCAAGCTGCTTCACTGCTGGTACCACCTCATCGAGCATCTCTTGCATCTCCTTATTCTTCTTTTCCAGCTCATCCTTCTCCTTTTGCAGTTGCTCACATTGCCTCCGTAAGATAGTGCGCTCCTTCACACTCTCTACAAACTCCTAGGCTAGAGCATTCACCTAGCTTGCACTCTGCAATTCCAACCGAAGTTGAAAAAAAAAAAAAAAATAGCAACCAAACACACATCAACCAACTTAACATACTTCCAAAGCATGCTTAACCACTTTCGCTCCTACATACCTCAGCACCTCTTCCTTAGCCTGACGCTTGTCCACTTTGGGGAATGTTGTATTAATAAACCTTTTTGCCCCCATTGCGTTCTTTACATCAAATAGGCTGCTCTAAAAGGGAAAAATGGGAACGAGTCCTTTCCTTTTACTAGGGGCTCTAACCTCAGCCCCCCCGACCTTAGTCTCCGTAGGCTCAGGATCGAGCTCAATAGGAGGAGGTCGAGGTATGAATTCAATTACCTCGTCCCCTCTCACCCCCTATTCCACCACCTTCTTTTTCTTCTGGAGTGCCTCTAGTTCCTC